TCGGACCTGGTGGAGTTTTACTGGATTTTTGGAGAATTTTTTTTTGAGGATGAGAAGTAAAAAAGCTGGAACAGAAGCAGAGAGTGATAGGAAGATAGTTTCTACTGGTATGAATATGGAGGCCATGATCGATCTGCCAATATTATTGATAGATGAGCGAAAAACTGGGGAGCAGTTACTTATAGCGAATGGCAAGATAGAGTAGGTGTCCTAACTAATATTTATAAATTATAATTATAAATTCAATTAGATACACAATTCACACGTACAAATTGAAGTTAAATAGCAATTTTATATAACTTTGAAGAGTTGTTAATTTACGTACCTTTCTAGATCAATAACAACAATTAACTAAACTTCATGAAAGAAACTGTTAGTTATATTAATAATAAGTGTCAATTTATTTAAAATACAATCCACTTTGGTGTTTTTTAATCATCTATTTGCGTGCCTTAATCATCAACGGATTCTCCTTAATATTTTGTCGGATTAAAACCAAATCTCCTATGCCCCAAGAAAAAGCAATCTAGCCGTTTAATGTTTCTCTGTGGAGGGTATATTGTACAGTATAATAATATTTGCTTATAATGGTTCATACAATCAAATAAAATTGTATAAAATTTATGTGAATAACTATTTTATCATTTATTTTTTATTTAGTTGTATAACTCGAAAGTAAGGAAGGTAGCTCGCTTCATTAATATTTATGATTTATAACCCAAAACGTTAAAAGAGTTCACTCTTTTTATGAGTTTTTTTATTTAAACCTTGGAGTTGGGTGGACCGAGCTAGGCTTACCCTCACATTTAAAAAAAAAAAAAATTATATAGGCCCACAAAAAAATTGTTATTATATATATTTCAGACTTACCCTCACATTTAAAAAAAAAAAAAAAACTATTATACTCAAAAAAACTTACTATTATATATATATTTCAGGCCCATATCATATTAAAAGTTTAAAACCCTCTCACTGATTTTTATGATTTTATCCCAAAATATTTACTCTCTATTCTCTCTTTCTCTTTCTCATGCTATGCACTCTTAATTTTTGAAAACTAAAATTGTTTAAGGCTTCACTACTCAAGATGCCACGTCCCTCTCGTTTTTGTTTAATTAGTTTTTAATATGTGTATTGCTTATTCAATTTAATTTATTTTAGGGTTGAATCATTGTTATTTTTTTGAGGTTTTTTATTCTAATTTGATGGAAAAATGCATGGATCTTATGAGTTTTGTTTTGTGTCTAAGAATGCTCATACTTTCCCAAATTAAAGCTAACTATTTTTATGACGTTATTTTTCACCCTTCACCACCACTTTCCTACATTTCAAACGTAATGTTTAGCTGCTCAAATATTAAAGAAACTTTGAGTTACTATTTATGTTTATATTAATAAATTTCTCATTTTTTTATTCATTCATATTAAAAGTCAACGTAATGTTGACTTGATTAAGTTTTGGTTAATTTTGCTTACGCTAGATTTGAGCAAAGCCATAAAATTTATATTATAATCTTTGAAAGCAAAAAATAAAACAAAAATAATAAAAAAGAGGAGAAATAAATTTTTTTGGAATATTTTGGTGGATTGTGGTTACTGTAACAATTTCATTTATTAAATTTAAGTAAATTGTTAGATTCTTTGGTATTTCGTTCTCTTCACATGAAGAGGTTTTTCCACGTAAAATTTTTCTTATAATGGATATTTTCAATATATTTACTCAAGGTTTTGCTTCTATAAATTTATCAAGTAAAAAAATATTATTATTGTATTATGTTTTTTTAGATTTTGATAATATATATTTCGATTGTTTAAGTTTGATATTTTTTAAAATTTTTTATTAATTATTTGATAAAACAATGACAAAACTAGAGAGTCCCCCCGACAAAAAAATTGTGGATCTCTCACTACTTGAAACCACCAATTATCGATAAAGTATTCAATAAACCTAAACAGTTAGTCGGTGGAACACTTATATATTATATATATTCAGACAAATACATGAAATTTAGGAAAGTAGGGCCCTATCTGAGGTTTGGATTAAAGCTTGGGATGTTGCCCGACGTATGCACAGTTCATGCATGAAAATTGAGATATAAAATGAATAAGGCACTGTTGTCTGTTCGTTTATTTTTTAACCCACCTTTCGTTTTTCTGAAATGGAAAATGAGAAAATGAGAAAGCAATGGGACTGAATAGAGAGAGAGAGAGAGAGAGTGAAGGTCTCACTTCAAGTATAATAACTAAGAATGGCATAAATTAATTTATTCTTTTATACTTTCATATTCTCTTTATTATTTGAGAAAGTCTCACCTTTAACAATTGTAATGGCCGTATAAGACTTGGCTGGCTTGGTACCAAAAGACAACAACATGCAATTCGCAATAATATCCTCGCCAGTCGTTTCCAAACCATTAAGGATAGTTACATTTCTTCTAGGTCGATGGAAAAAAGAAGCATCGCAGATAATTATGTATGGCACCACCAGAACCAGAAACAAGATAGGATTCCTGAATGGATTCATGCTTGCTGGAAAATCTGCAAGAATTGAGAGGAAAGGTTTGGGGACTATGTATTTGAAAATGAGAGACTGATTCAAAAGTACTGTATATATAATATAACAGAGTCGTCTATCCATCTATAGTATTTTACATATGGAAGTTTTTATGGTAAGTTTTATTAAGGCCTAAATATTAATAATATACCATTGATAAATCCTAATATTTAAATTAATACTAACGAAATAATCCAAAATTTTTATTACTTTCGGTAATAAAGGCTAAATATTTAAAATTGTTTGTTGTCTTGTTAAATATTTATAACATATTTTGGATACTACCAACTCATCCTAAAACATTTCCCAAAAATCACATTCTAATTGATTTATTACTGTATGTGTAAATAAATTAAAAGTAATACTACACATCCTAAATACTATTTCGGAATTTCATATCCCAAATGACTGTCAGATATGGGCATTGTCATATTATTCAATACATCGTTATTTTATTTACATGTCAATACTACGTTTGATTACATATAATTTGCTATATGAAATTTGGGTTAAATTTTGGGAATAGTAGTATAATATTAAGTTTAGAGATGGAATACTATAAAAGGAGTGGAAATCAAAATCTAACCTTCTAATAAGAAATATTAATATTAGTTTAACAAATTTTAAAAGATGATTGAAGATTTTATTTGGAAGTAAACTGTGCATATGAAATGTATATATTTTAACCATCATTGTGTGACATGATATTAAAAGAGTAAATGGGTCAACATGAGTCTTGAATTTGAGTTCCTCCAAACACTAATAAGAGTGGTCATTAAAAGAATTTATCTAACCGTTCACTTCAAGTCTTAAAGAATTAATTGAGCTGTGTGCAAACTGACCCAAACACCAATAAAAAAATTAATAGTTTATTTAAGATAACCTCGCTGGAACGAGGATATATTAACCAAAAAGAAACTACATGACGTAAAGTAAGGAGTGCCTAACTAGCTCCAAGGAAGACAAGTACGATTTCCGTCTAGAGGAAGCATGCAAGCAAGATTAAATTGTGAAGTAATAATCCAGTCGCATTGTCTGCAGTCATCTCTTTTCGAGTCGAAAATTTTGACATTATGGGATTGGCCAGAAAATAGAAAACTGCAATACAATTTACTTGTTCCAAGAAGGCCGTCTCGAAAATGAAGAGTGAAAGTCTGATCTTTACCAATTATAATGTTCAGAAGCTTGACTGGCTTGTAAGCAAAAGAAACGAACTTGAAATCCGCAATAATGTTCTCGCCAGTCGTTTCTAAACCATTAAGGATACTTACACTTCTTCTAGGTCGATGGAACAAAGAAGCATTGCAGATAATTATGCATGGCATTGGCACCAGCAAAATCAGAAACAAGATAGCATTGCTGAATGGATTCATGCTTGTTGGAAAATCTGCAAGAATTGAGAGGAACTTTTTCTTTTTATTGATTGAGGTTTGGGGACTGTGTATTCAAAAATGAGATACTGAATTGAAAGCATATATAACAGAGTCGTCTATCAATGGAAGAATTTATGTTTGTGTGACTTTTATGGTAAGTTTAAATGGAAGAATAAATTTATGTCTTGGCGTTAGACATCCCCTTGAATTAAGGGCTAATTATAATATACCATTAATAAATCCTAACATTTAAGTTAATATTATTGAATTAATCCAAAATTTTTGATTACTTTCTGTAAATATTTAAAATTGTTTGCTGTCTTATTAAATATTCATAACATATTTTTGAATAATACAACTCATCCTAAAACATTTCCCAAAAATTACATTCCAAATGATGTGTTACCATATGTGCCTTGAGATGTAAATAAATTAAGAATAATACTAACATATGATCACATATAATTTGGTATAAGAAATGTTGGGAATAGTACTAGTATTATACAGTTTTAGGAGCCCTTTTTCTTAATTCTTAAATGGGCTCCACACAATTACTCACTTGCCAAGGGCTACAGCGGGCAGTACTGATGGAAATGGTACCATGTTCTTGACTGTTAGTACACCTGGAAAGTGGAAACATGACACAATTTCGAGCTAAAATCCAAAAGTAATTTGTGCGGACCATATGGGCAATGCTAGAGACCGTACCTTAACCAGGACCAGAGCATTTAAGAAACTAGCCTTACTTGTCTAAAATAATCTCTAACATTTTCTCTATTATTATTTTGAACCAGGCTGAAAACCAAGCTGAATCATTTCCTTGCTTTCGGAATTACAACAAGAGGTTGCAGCTTTAATAATGTCACACCAAATTTTTCATTCATGTCTAGCTCCTGAGGTTTCATTTTATCTGGAAGAGACCACTCGAAGTGATGAATTAAAGATGCCAAACCCAACTGAACCTGCCTTATAGCCATCGGCATTCCTGCACAAATTTTCCTTCCACTACCAAACGGCAGGTACTGAAAATCATAGCCTTTGTAATCCAAACTAGAATTCAGGAACCTCTCTGGTTTAAAACTCAAAAGGCTTTTCCCAAATTGTAGGGTCTCTTGCAATTGCCCATACGTTCACGAAAACCTGAGAGTCCTTAGGAATGGTGTATTTCATCACCTCACAATCTTCGATCGCTCTGTGTGGAAGCAGAAGCGGCGCTGGAGGGTGTAATCTCAAAGTTTCCTTGACGCATGCATACAAGTAAGGAAGGTTGGCTAGATTTTCCTCTGTTACAAAATCTTCTGAGACTCCTTGTGCAAGCTCTTCGCGAATCTTATTCATGGCTTCCGGATTCTTCAGGAGTTCCGCCAATGCCCATTCTACTGTTGAAGTTGTACTATCAGACACTGCAGCCAAGAGTTCCTGTATGCCCCCAACAAAATATGGAATTAATTACGTCAAGTTTTAACGATAATGATTTAAAAAGAAAACTAAATTAATTGGGATTTGGCAGAACTGTCCCTCGAAAAAAAAAACAACATACCACGAATATTAAACTGATTTGCTCATCGGAAAATCCACTGTCAAGCAATGCGTCCAAGAAATCTCTATGGTTACTCTGATGATCACCACCTCGACGTTCTCTTCTCTCTTTTATGGTGCTGTCCCAAATTCCACACATTTTCTTAACGCATTCATCAGCCTTCTTCCTCAGACCCTGAAGATCCAACCCACTCAATATTGGAAACAGATCTGATATATTTGGTGCTGTCCATAACTCCATCATGTCTCTTACAAGCCCGCTCATTCCTCTACTTTCTCCGCTACCGAAAGCTAGGAAATCTTTTGATAAGTAAATATTTGACAAGGAGTTAAACGTGGTAACAAACAAGACTTCCCGAATTTGCACCTTTTGTCCTTCCTTTGAACCCAGAAACTCCACCAGTTCACCAATCTTTTTTTCTCTTATATGGAACTGGCTATCAACGATTTTTGACCCGAAAAGCTCATTTTTCATGAGGGCTCGGAAATTCTTCCACTCTTCAGTGCACTCGAAGGTCCAAGCAATTGAGTCCCGATTGTACTTAGGCTCTCGTGCGAATGAGACACATGGCACGTGCCTGCCTGAGAGTTCCCTGTCGTGGGTCTTAAGTATGGCAGCTGCAGCATCCGGGGAGGAGCCGACAACCACAAGTTGACTTCCAAGACGGACGGAAATGAGAGGGCCATAAGTCTTGGAAATTTGGGCGAATGAGACATGTGGGTTGTCACCAATAAGGGATAGGTTTCCTATGATAGGCCACGGTTTCGGACCTGGTGGAAGTTTTACTGGAATTTTGGAGAATTTAATTTTGAGGATGAGAAGTAAAAAAGCTGGAACAAGAAGCAAGAGAGTGATAGGAAGATAAGTTTCTACTGGTATGAATATGGAGGCCATGATCGATCTGCCAAATATTATTAGATAGATGAGCAGAAAAACTGGGGAGCAGTATACTTATAGCGAATGGCAAGATAAGAGTAGGTGTCCTAACTAATATATTTATAAATTATAAATTATAAATTCAAATTAGATACACAATTCACACGTTACAAATTGAAGTTAAATAAGCAATTTTAATATAACTTTGAAGGAGTTGTTAATTTACGTACCATTTCTAGATCAATAACAACAATTAACTAAACTTCAATGAAGAAACTGTTAGTTATATTAATAATAAGTGTCAATTTATTTAAAATACAATCCACTTTGGTGTTTTTTAATCATCTTATTGCGTGCCTTAATCATCAACGGATTCTCCTTAGATATTTTGTCGGATTAAAACCAAATCTCCTTTGGCCCATAAGAAAAAGCAATCTAGCTGTTTAATGTTTTCTCTGTGGAGGGTAATATTGTGTAGTATAATAATAATTTACTTATAATTGATTTATACAATCAAACAAAAATTATATAAAATTTATATGAAATAACTATTTTATCCCTTGTTTTTTATTTAGTTGTATAACTTAATTGTAAGTATAGTATTACTTAACGACAGTATAACAGCCACCGAATCAGAGCTAGAGTAGACATCAGGAAAAAGTGAGGAAGGTAGCTCAGTTTCATTAATATTTATGATTTCTAACCCAAAACGGTTAAAGAGGTTCACTTTTTTCATTGAGTTTTTTTATTTAAACCTTGGAGTCAGGCGTGGACCGAGGCTAGGCCAGGCCTATCCTCACATTTAAAAAAAAAAAAATTGTTTATATAGGCTCACAAAAAAATTATTATTAATATATATATTTAGGCTTACCCTCACATTTAAAAAAAAAAAATGAAAACTATTATACCCACAAAAAACTTGCTATTAATATATATATTTCAGGCCCATATTATATTAAAAATTTAAAACTCTCTCCAACTGTTTTTTATGATTTTATCTTAAAAATTATTTACTCTCTTAGTCTCTTTTCTCTTTCTCATATTATTCGCTCTTAAAACCCTTGAAGATTAAAATTGTTGAAGCTTTCACCACTCAAGGTACCATGATCAACTCCATTTTTCGTTTTATTAGTTTTAGGTATGTGTATTGTTCATTTCAATTTTGTTTATTTTATTGTTGAATCATGGTTGTTTTTTGGAGGTTTTTTACTCTAATTTGATGGGAAAATGCATATATCTTGTGAGTTTTGTTTTGTATTTTGTGTTTAAGAATGTTCATACTTTCCTAAATTAAAGCCAACTATATTTTATTCAACGTTATTCTTCACCCTTCACCCACTACTTTCCTACATTTCAAACGTAACCGTTTGGCTACTCAAAATTATTAAAGAAATTTGAGTTATTATCTATGTTTATACCAAAAAAATTTCCCTTTTTTTTTATTCATTCATATTAAAAGTCAACACAATATTTGACTTGATTTAAGTTTTAGTTAATTTTAGCTTAGGTTAGATCTAATCAAAGTCATGAAAATTTATATTATTTGAAAGCCAAAAATAAAACAAAAAATTAAAAGAAAAAAAAGGAGAAATAAGAAATTTGTGTGGAATATTTTTTGTGGATTGTGGTTGCTATAAACTCTTTTGATTATATTGAATTTAAGTGAATCATTAGATTCCCATGGTTTTTTGCTCTTTTCACATTGAAGGGGTTTTTCCACGTAAAAAATGTCTTATGTTTCCTTGTGAATTACATGTTTTCAACACATTTAATCGAGGTTTTGCTCCTCGTTGATTTATTCAATTAAGAAAATATTATGTTATTGCATTATTGGCTTTTAGGTTCTTGATAATATATTATTTCCTTTGCTTAAAATTTGGTGATTTTTTAAAAGTTTTTATTAGTTGTTTGACAAACAATAATGGAGTCACAGAGGTCCCCCTCGACAAAAATCCTGGGTCTATTACCGCTTGAAACCATTAACTATAATAATATTATGGTTTACTTGGTCCGTTGAGACGGTATGATATTCAATAAACCCAAAAAATTAGTTAAGATCCATGCAAACTGATTTGAACACTTAAAAAAAAAAAAAAAAACATATATATAAGTTGTCCATTCAGGAAAAGTGGGCCTATTCATTAAAAATTGGGATGTGTGCACCGACATATGTACAGTTCTTGCATGAAAAATGTGATATATAAATTATAAAATGAATAAGGCACTGTTGTCTGTTCGTTTATGTTTTTAACCCACCATTTTCGTTTTCTGGCATGGAAAATGAGAAAAAAAATTGCGCTCGTTTATGGATTTAGTGCATTCAAGTTTGAGAAACGGAAGATTTGGGACTGGAGAGGGAGAGAGAGAGAGAATGAATGGTCTCACTTCAAGTATAACGAAACTAAGAATGGAATTAAATTAAATTTATTCTTTTATACTTTCATATTCTCTTTTTTTAATTTATTTTTAACACAAAATTATAAATTGGAATGAATTATTAACATATTTAATGCAAACTCATCGTATCAATAAAATAAATACCATTAATTTTTTTTTTTTTTTGTCAATTGTGTAAGTGATAAAATTCGCATTTTTTTTATTTTTCTTCATTATGTTTTCAAACAAACATATTTTTTATTTTTTATATTTTTCAAGTATTTTTAATTAAAAAAAAAACATAAAATTCATAAAAAACACACTCTAAGTTAATGTTTAAATCTTATTCTAATGAGTCTTTAGTTATCACTTCTAATTAGTCTAAACAAGATTGATAAGATCATTAGTTTGAGTTTAAATCTTATTCTAATCCGACCAAGTTGTTGACTTTCTTTTATGATATGAGAATCATCTAAATTCATATTATATATAATTATTTTTGAAATATTTTAAAAGCAATTTGAATTTTTTTATCTTTTACTTTGATACGAGAAGATTTTTTATATTTTAATCTTATTTTTTATTTGTATATATAAAAATTATAAGAATAAAATTTTGTTGAAATTATGATTTTAAATTTCCAATAAATTAATAAAAAAACACAAAAGTAGAAAATCTAAAATTAATTCCTTACCATTTTATTGAGAGATTAAGGCTTGGTTAGGAATTGTTGTAGTTTACCCTTAATCATTTTTTAGCCAACTTTAGCCATAATCGACTTTTAAAATAATTTACGGGGGAACGACTTAGACATACCCAAAGTTTTCTGTAATGACAAGTTAGTATCCAAAAGGTTTGGAAAAAACAAATAGATACTTTCCATCATGTACTGTTCTAGATTTCCGTTTTATAATAGTGAAAAAACTGGAATGCCCTTTGAAGTTTGACATCTTAGTTTTTTATTAATTTATCACTAGTCAACTTATTCAATTACATAAATATCTAGATCATTATGGTGAATTACATTATGCCCTCATGTTATTATGAGCTAATGAAATTACCATTTTGTCCGTATGAGTTTGTAAAAAATGAGACACAACAAGTGACCAATTTATCCATGTTTTGGTAGAAGCAATATCAATACACTCATTTGTGGCTGAAAATTGAAATTTTTCATAATTTAAAAGAAACCCTTCATACAAAAGAATTGAGCAATTTAAACAGAAACCATGAAAATTGAATTTTTTCATAATTTAAAAGAAAGCGTTCATAATTAACATCAGTTCAGTACATGATATTCAATATCAATTAAGTCTTCATGGTTTAAACAGAAACCGTGAATTCAGTACATGAAAATGTGATATACAACTAAAACTTCAAACTTCAAATCAGGTTTGAAAAACTAAGCATTTTCCAGCTGCACACCCATAGCTGCAAAAATATGCACAAAATTGTCCTCTTCTCTATCCTGCAAATCCACAAATGCACACCCATAGCTGCAAAAACAGGCACAAAATTGTCAAAAGACACCTTTTGAGGGGCGGACCATTGTTAAGAACAATGATGGCTTCGTTTGGTTCAAGATTGGGAATACTACTCTTAGTATTCCCAAACAAGTTAAACAGTAAAATACCCAAAAACTCTCATTTTTGGGAATACTATTTTCAATATTATTCAATTTTTTTAAACCCTCTAAATTTGTTAATTTAATTAAATACCCCTAAATATTTTTTTAAAATTACAAAAACACCCCAATAATCCACATTTACCAGATTCTGGTCACCATCGTCGGAAAATGGCCGAAATCTGGTAGGATGGCGCACTACCGGCTGAATCTGGCCGGTAGTGCGCCGATCTAGCCTTTTCCAGCCAGATCCACGGTGGATCTGGCCGGAAAAGGCCAGATCTAAGGCCAAAGATCTGGCCGTTGACGGCCAGATCTTTGGCTGTAACAGTCGGTCGCGACGGCCAACAAACGGTTGTCGTTGACCATCAACGACGACCGTTTGTTGGCCGTCGTTGAGAGCAAATAAGGCCAGATCTGGCGGTTGACGGCCAGATCTGGCCGTAGATCTGGCCTTTGCCGGCCAGATCCACCATGGATCTGGCCGGAAAAGGCCATATCGGCGCATGACCGGCAAGATCCAGCCGGTCATGTGCCCATAAGGTGACTTCGGCCACCTCCGGTGGTGGTGGCCGACTGGGGGTGTTTGAGGGTGGGTTAGGGGTATTTTTGTTAACTTTTAATGTTTTATTATAGGGGGTATTTTGTAAAAAAATAAATATATAGGGTATTTTATTAATTTATAAATCCTACATCGTAATACCCGCCCAATTCAACTTTTTTTTAACTTTTTTCAAAAAACTTTTCCCAAAACCCCCAAATTTTGAACCAAACGGAGCCGATATTATTTATGACACCATCACCAAATATACTTTTCCAATGTAATAAACTGTAGATACATACTCTTGTCTGGTACAAACATCATCATTGCAAATCCACTACAATGGGAATGCATCGTGCAAACTAGATTCCTTAAAAAGAGACATGAGAACATTGAAAATTTTGTAAAGATAAAATCATGTTCCAGCATTCTACTACAGTTAAACTAGCGGCAGGGGTCTGAATAGAGAGACTAATC